GGCGGATGGGACGGGGGGAGGGAGGGAGGGAGGGGGGGAGGGGGGGAGGGGTCTGCACAGAAGCCATCAGTGCACCACCTGCACACACACCCACACCCACACCCACACACACAAGACGCAATGCACTTGTGTGTGGCGATTGTCTGCATTGCATTGCTTCCTTACCGGTTTGAGCGGCGCTGCCCTGATGGTGGTGTGGTCAATCTCGGAATCGATCACGTCATCGATCTCACCGATTATCGCACTGCACACACAACACACACACACACACACACAGAGGTCCATCCCTCCCACACACAGGTGCCTTCCCAGGCTGACAGACATACATGTTGTCTCCCCTGACGACGTATAGCCCCAGCTGTATCTCCTCGACCCCCTGATCCTGGCTGTAGACCCGCTCGCTGGCGTCCTGCAGGATGACATTGGTCGTCTGGTCGAACCCACGCAAAGTCCCTACAAACAGCCGGCCGTCGTTGGTCACCACCGCTATCCTCTCTGATCATACACACACACGTCATGAGAGAGAGAGAGAGAGAGAGAGAGGCCATATGGACGACACGCCAGAGGTCTGTTTGTGTTTGTGGCTGTGTGCATCCTTCCTTGCTATGGCATCTATCTGCCGTCTGGCGTGTTCTGTGCTTACGGTCAATGGACGGCTGCAGAATGGACGTCATGTTATGTTATGTGGTGCCTGGCCTGCAGTGAGTGAGTGAGAACCGCCTCGCCACTCAGTCGAGTCACCGACAGAGGCGAGATCCAAAGCAACCAGCTCGTGGATCTGCGTCACAGGCGTCTGCTCGTATCGGTCGGTAGCTGTTATGCAGGTGTTCTCTTCGTCGGGAACAGCTGATCTCGAGCGACGGATGCTAGCTCAACGAAGAAGCTCCTCCAGCGCAGATCTCGTGGCTTATGCCACAAGTCTGGAATGCGACAGCACGGCTCCATGGACCTGACTGAATGGCAAAGGAAAATGCGAGCTGAAGAAAGTCCCAGAAGTTTTGTTTGCCATTCAGTCAGGTCGGCGGAGCCGTGCTGTCGCATTCCTCGAAAGGCACCGGTCACCTCTCGAAATCATGGTTTTCGCCTCATTGCGTCGGTGTGCGGAGAGAGGAGCCCATCAGCTGATCCGATTGGCACCAAGATGCCACGCCACGAAGGTCAAGATGGCGATACTCGACTTCAGCGGCACGGTGGCAGACCCCTACAGCCTCGCGGTGCACAAGGCCTTCGTCGAGGTAGATCAGCAGCACCAGAAACACACTCCTATCCCACCCATTTCATCCGCTCGTCCGTTGCATGCCTCTGTCTGTTGTGATCTGTTGGGTGCCTGCAGGTGTTCGCAGCATCTGGTGTGCAGATCACCATGAGTGATGCCCGCGCCCCGCCTGCACTCAAGAACTACTTCCACATACGGGCCATCCTCGAAATCCCGGAGGTGCGCACCAACGACGAGCGAGCAGCAGATTGTGTGTGTGGTTGTGTCTGTCCATTGCAATGGAGGCGTGCAGGTGCGCCGTCGGTTCATGGAGGCGCGGGGCCACGAGCCGAACCCGGCGGATGTGGAAATGCTGCATGAGGCATTTGTCGGCAGACAAAGCGACGTGAGTGAGGGAGGGAGGGAGGGAGGGACGGACAGCTGGCCACCGACACTCTGTGTCTGTGCGTGTGCGTGTGTGTGTGTGTGTGTGTGTTTAGATGGTGTCTGCTTATTCGTCCTTGGTGCCCGAGTGCGTCGACGCCGTCGAGAAGATCCGGAAGATGGGATGCAAGATTGCAGGCACCACTGGTAGGTGCATGTCGAAAACTCTTGGGGGACACGCACAAGGAAGATGGCCTCTGTGTGTGTGTGTGTGTGTGTGCAGGTTTGGGTCGTTCGCTGCTGGATGCATCGCTCAAGGAGGCGGCCACCCAGGGGTTCGTGAGCGACTCGTTCGTGGCGGGTGACGACTTGGAGGGCAGCTTTGGGTCGCGGACACAGCCTTTCATGATCTACCAAAACATGAGAAACCTCCAGGTGTGTCTGTCTGGCTCGTGCACTGCACGGCTGCATGACATGACGTCTACTGTCTGTCTGTCTGTTTGTCTGTCTGTTTGCAGATACCCTATGTGCAGAGTGTCGTGAAAATCGACGACAGCGTCATGGGCATTGCGGAGGGCCTGAACGCAGGTATGGTATACTCTGACTGAGGACACCCTACCCCCATCATGTCTTTGGATGGATGGATGGGTGTGTGTGCGTGTGCAGGATGCTGGACGGTCGCTGTGAGCCGCTACAGCACACACATGGACGTGGACTCTATCGACCAGTGGGAGGCACTCGGACAAGAGGAACAGACGCGCAGAGAGCAGGTAGCCAGCCTCACTCGCGCAGACAGACAGAGTGGATGGGATGCCCCGCTCTCCGCCACGCCGATAGATACATTGGATTGGTTGCTGCAGGCGAGCCGCGACAAGCTTGTTGGCGAGTCTGGTGCTCATTATGTGGTCGACACACTCGCTGATGTGCCCCTGGTGATTGAAGACATCAACGCCAGACTGGCCAAGCAGGAGAGGCCTTGATTTGATGATGGATGGGGCCTTGTCTGTAGCGGGACCACACTGACTGACATGGCTGTGCCGTTGGTGTACATTACGTACGTTGTGTAGGGCCCTGGGATAGATAGGTGTATAGCGTTTGTTGATGGGCTGAGTGCACTGGCGGGCTTCTGTAGGTAGGGATGTGTGTGGTAAGCCCATACTCCTGGCTGAGCTGTGCTGTGCTGTGCTGTGTTGTGTTGTGCTGTGCTGTGTTGTGTTGTGTTGGCGGCACAACACAGGACAGATACGTTCTCCCCGTGAGTGACCAGCTCGGCTGTGCGGCAAGTGCCTCTCTCTAGTGTGAGCATGAACACGGTTCAGTGTACTCGAGTCATTCCATTCACCGTTCAATCAGCCATCCATCAGGTCATTAAAGAGTCATTCCATTCACCGTTCAATCAGCCATCCATCAGGTCATTAAAGAGCCACACAGCACAGCACAGCCACTCACCGCCAGTCCTCCGCCCACACACACACTTCCACGCACGCACACAGACACAGACTCCTGCCCCCGCCCCACCCGCCCCGCCAGCGTGTGTGCAGTGCAGGCCCCTCGGAGAGCCAAACAACAGCACCAGAGAGGCAAAACCGCACACACATGGCTGGGTGGCTGAAGAAGGGTCCGGTGCGGTGCCTGCAGCAGCTGCTAAGACGATGGTGGTGTGGGTGGTTCGCTCGATTGTGTTGTGGGCCATCCATCCATCCAGCTGTCTGTCTGTCTCGGCTTAGAATCTGAGTCTTTGTCTGAACCACGAGAAGTCCTTGCCCGCGCCGATCTTGCCCTTCTCCTTCTCGGCACCCTGCAGCTTCGCAACCCTGAGCCACACAACCAGGGATACGCAGAAACAGACACTCAATGTGCAGCTGCCCTCTCTCCCTCCCTCGCTATGTGTCTGTGTCTGCGCGTCTGATGGTGCTTACTTCTCCTTCATGACGGTCTTGAGTGCCTTCCGTGCCTCCACCCTGTCCTGCGCCTCGAGCGTCTTGACGTCACCAAACGCCTCAGCCGGACACGTGTACCTGCACCATCACACAACACACAGACACACAGACACACACACACACACAGACAGACGTCCCTTGTCCTTTCTGCCTCCCTCCCCCCCTGCCTCCCTCCCTCCCTGTGTCCCTGTGTCAATAATCAATCTGTGGCTGAGTGCCACTGACCGTGTGGGCATGATGTGGTTGTAGTTGACGTACTTCAAGAAGGGTTTGATCCTCAGCCGCTTCTCCACCTTCTCCTTGGACATCCGGGTGGTCACCTTGAGGGGGTTCTTGGCGATGCCCGCCACCAGGCAGTGACCGAAGTTGCGGCTCGCCGGCTTGTTGCCGTCGTCGTAGCACTTCAGGATCACACCCTTCTTGCCCGCGTACCGGCCGGCGACCACTATCACGATGCGGCCGGGCTTCATGAACTTCACCACTGGACACACACACACACACACAGAGAGACAAGCAGGGAAACGCGACCGCGCATACAGGGTGGGGTGCGTGTGTGTCACAGCGCGCGAAGGCCTCCCTCTGTCAGTGAGAGGTCTTCCACGAGAGATCTGTCCTGATCTGTCTTTGTATTGCCTTTCCTGTCTGATCTTCGAGGGTTATCTGCTTACTTTTGGCTGGAGGGCGTGCGCCAGCGTAGTTCTTGGAGAGAGCGGTTTCGCAATTTCAGGCTGCGAGCTTGACCCTAAACCCTCGCCGACTCGAATGTGACAGAAATGGACATGGCTTCTCAACGATCCCATGTGCTGATCTTCCTGATCTATCTCTCATTATCCATCGCAACAGCATTCCGGCTGCCCTCTCCCCAGCCGCCTCAATCGCAGCGCCTGCATTCGCACGGGCAACAGCATCAGCAGCGGTCCCGCCACGAGCAGCAGCAACGGTCCGTTCTTCCCATCGTTATCTTCTCTCTGCTTCCCTTGTTCGTCACCCCGGAGATAGACACTCCGGGTCTCGCTGTGCCGTCTGAGCAACGGAGTGTCGATGCTGCACCGGCTCAGCGGACCGCTGCTTCTTATGCAAATGGTGGATTGTTCTCACTGAGAGGCTTGCCGGCTGATGCCGTTCCATCACAGTCAGGCGGCAAGACTAAGGTCGTGGCCGGGGGTGCGTCGACACTTGACCAGGGCCGGGCCACCATTATCACCAGGTGGGTGAGGAGAGGGAAAGGGACGGAACGCCACGCGGCTGAATGCATCTCTGTTGGCTATAGCTGATGTGTCCACCTGGGTGCGTGTGTGTGTGCTCAGGGGTGTGAATCTGGAGGGGAGTGACTTCAGCGGGCAGGATCTGTCGGGTGTGTCGTTCCAGCAAAGCGTCGTGAGGAACAGCAACTTCGCACAGACGAAGCTCCTGGGGGCATCGTTCTTCGACGCAGACCTCGCTAATGCCGACTTCACTGGAGCCAATATGGTACACAGCACACACACCTATGCTCTCTCTTGTCGGAGAACCGCTGTCTGTCTGTATGTGTTCGTGCATTTGTGCATCACACAGAAGCTGGTCAACCTTGAGCTGGCGAATCTGCGTGGAGCCTCATTTCGCGACGCGATCGTCACTGAGGCCTATACTACAGGCAGCACGTCGTTCGGCGAGAACGACATCGAGAATGCAGATTTCTCTGAGACGTTCTTGCGGAAAGATCAGCAGAAGTACCTGTGCGGGATTGCCAAGGGGACTAATGCTGTCACGGGGGTGGCCACAGCTGACAGCCTCAATTGCCCATGACAGACATGTCTAGGAGAGGGAAGGGACGAGGGGTGTATCCGTCTGGTACCTGTGGTACTGCGATAGTGCGGTGGATTGAGAGAGAGACTGGGTTGGTGGCGCGCTTGTCTGTCGTCCGTTGCGTATTCAGCTATGCAGCAAAGCACGAGTGCCAGCTGGGTCGTGCCCGTGATGGGGCCCCCTGCTTATCCCGGCTGTCTAATGGCGTGACCTCAGCGTGAGGATGCTGGATTGATGCATGGTATGGATTTGCTACCCCCAGTCCGTGCAGGCTTTTCCAAGCGTTCAGAAGATGCTCTGTCGTCTCAGGCAGTCAGTCAGTGTCCATCCATCCGTCCGTCCATCCATTCATCCATCGATTTGTGCCTATCCTCTCAATCAGCCAACCAGACCAGACAGACCACCAGCCACCAGCCATGGACGCATGCATCCGTACTCTCAAAAACACTCAGGCACCAGCCAGACGCCAGCCAGCCAGACACCACCAGGCAGGGAGGGCAACCACAAGAAACGAATCAATATATATGGCTGTGTGTACGCTTCCTTCTTAGAATGAGTCCTCAGGCAGGTCGCCCGCCACGCCAGGCTGACCCTCACCAGCCGGCTCCTGCTCCTCCTCTGTAGCAACAGGGGCAGCAGCAGCAGCGGCAGCAGCGGCAGGGGCCTCCTCAGCGGCAGCAGCAGCTGGAGCAGGCTGCTGCGGCTCTTCCTCCTGAGGCTGCAGCTGCTGCACCTGGGCGGCTGTGAGTGGGTCCTCAGGCAGGTCGCCGGCCAGCCCCGGCTGCCCCTCACCGGCCTCGCCAGCAGTCAAGTTCTGCACGGCAGCTGCGGTGACGCTTGCAATGATAGACTGCAGTGCATCAATCCCCATGGACACAGAGTGACGTCTCTACCAGTGTGGATGGTGTGGCGGGTGGGTGTATTTACCTGAGGTGCCGGCGGCTGCACGATGGGCACAGCAGCGGCAGCAGCAGCGGGCGATTCCTCGGACTCCTGCAGTGTCTGCAGTGGCTGCGCCACCGTCTGGCCCTGCAGCACCGGGTTCTGGGGCGACCTGAGACACCAGGAGAATGAGTGAATGGATGGATGGATATGGGTGCGTCTGTTGTGGGTGGGATACCAGATGTATGATGGCAGAGTGAAGACGCTTGCAAATCGGCCGGGCGGTCCCTGGGGGTGGTGGGCCGACTGGGCCAGGCTGTAGGGAGCCATCTGAGGCGGCATACTACCGGCTGCACCCACCACACAGGACACGTTCACACACACACACATGGTGAGACGTCCTTCTGTGTCTGAGTATGCGTGTGTCTGTGTCTGTGTCTGTGTGTGGTACCTAGCGACTGAGTGTTGTTGAAGATCATGGTGTTGTTGCCCGTGGCGTAAGTGCTCGGGAGGCCGCCGCCAAACATGTCCTGCAGACACGGTCAGACATAGAAACACGGCACCCATAATATGTCTGCAATCATTCCGGTGTGTGTGTTTGATTTCTTTCTTTCGAGCCTGCTGCATGGGCCCCTGTGTGGCGTAGATGGGCATGAGTGGGTATCCTCCGGCCGCCGCGGCCGCCTGCTCGGGCGGCAGCAGACCCATGCGACGCGCCACAGCCAATTCCTCCTTATCAGGCTCATCTGACCCACCGCCACCGCACATGTAACAACTCGTGTGCGTGTCTGTGTGTGTGTGTGTGTGTGTGTAGACACATACCATCCTCTTCCTCCTCGGCTTCGCTCTCGTCCTCCTCCTGTCCGCCGTAACCTGTAGGGATGCGACGCTGACGAGTCGTGCCGATGCCGCACAAGCCCCTACACACACACACACACACACACACACACCGCAACACAGGTTGGTTGGATGCACGCTACACGATCTCTCTGTTTATGTGTAGGGTGGGTCAGGGCAGGGTGTACTTGGTTTTGGTCTTGATGGCCCGGGGGCGGGCGGCCTGGTCAACTACCACCTCAATGTCCTCCTCGTCAGGCTCAAGCGCACTGATCGACACATGCACACACACACACAGACAGACACACGAATGGAGGCCTGCTCTGGGTGTGGTGTGTTTGTCTCGGCTTGGCTTGGCTTGGCTCGGCTTACGCCTGCTGCTCCTGGATGCGGTCTCGCTGTATCTGCTCGGGTGTCCGTTCGATCTTCTTGATGCCAAAGACGTTGACCACCACAATGTCTGTGTGGATGCGGTTGGCCACGTGCTGCATCACCGCCCTGTGGACAGCAGAATGATGCACAGACATGCACATGCCCGTGCCCGTGTATGTAGGCTGGTAAAAGGGCCACGTTTGTGTCTGTCTGTGAACATACACGGCGAGTTGCTGCGCCATTTCGGCAGTCGACGCATCCTGGACAAACCACGATGCCAGCTTCTCAACGTCAGGGCTGAAACAAGAGCAGAGCAAAGACACGCACAGATCAACAGAGGCACACCACACCCTCGTGGTGATGATTGCATTGCTACGGCGATTGGTCGTAGAAGTTGATGTGTCGGTAGAAGTGGGTGTTTTTGATGTCTGGCCTCTTGCAGGCCTTGGGCTCCTCGGGGTTGGTGATGTCGCCGTCCTCATTTAGCGTGTTGGGCGCATACAGACACAGCAGGGGCACTGGCATGTCCTGCGCGACTGCACACACAGACACAGACACAGACACAGACACAGAGAGGGTGTGTGTGGCTGGTGCGTGTGTGTGTTGGCCTTACTGAGGTGTCTGATGTGTGGGAGTGTGTTCTCGTGATTCGACACGATGCCCTGTAGCACATCCTGGTGCGTACGCGCCATCCCTGCCATCCATCCATCCACCCCACACACAGAGACACCCATACAACGCTCAGTCCCCCCAATTTCCCCACCCACACCCTCGAGGACCTTTGCTGGCGACGTCGACAAACTCGTCTACAGAGAACTGCAGCTTGGGCAGTGCGTCCTCTGACACATTCTCCACCACCTGTATCTCAGTGGGCAGTGGGGGGCGCTCAAGCCCGTCCACGCCGAAACACGACGGCTTGCCGCAGGTGATGCCCGCTATGGTGCGCTCGTTCTCGTCGGGCGAGTCGTCCATGTCCCACTCTCGGCTGACCACGCAGATCTGCCGATTGATTGACACATACATACACCGGGCCATGTAGGAGTGCGTGTGTTGAGAGGTGAGAGAGAGAGAGAGCGGGGAGGGTGCGGTGGGGTGCGTACGTGAGCCTCTTTGATGGGTCGCTTGGAGAAGCCCTCGATGTTGAGGAGCCATCCGTCGTCGGCTGCTCCGATGCTGACCTCAACCCGGTGGCTCGCCTCGCTCCATGTGCTGACACATACACAGAAAGAGAAGTAGGGAGGGAGGGAGGGGCGTGTGTGTGTGTGTGCGTGTGTGTGTGTGGCTGGGGGGAGGGGAGGGTACCGTGGCTCTTCGTCGACAGGCGGGCATGTGACGGCAGTGAAGATAATGAAGGTGAGGAGCACCGAGTAGGCCCCAAGGAACAGACACATCAGAATCGTCACAGCTGCACACACAGAAGCAATAAACACCAATGCACACCTGCTCCGATTATGTGTCTCGTTTTCCACGCTCACTGAGGATGGTGTAGAGGGCTGGGTCGACTTCGTTGGTCTGGTAGTAGAGCGCCATGAAAGCGAAACTCGACACAGCGATGCTGAAGTAGATGCCGAATTGAAGCCAATTCTCAAGCGCACGGCTGTACGGCGACGTCACTGCAGACGCAAACCCACACACGGATGGACTCACACACCCAGACCAAAAACCCCCTCCCCCGTGTGTGTGTCGTGCTCACGAAGAATTGCGACGAAGGTTGCGATGGAGAGAAGGCCGATGGTGCAGAATGCGCCTGGGGTGACGGCCAGGGTGGGGTATGCGAGCACGAGGCCCACGAGAATGCCGAACAGGAGTTTGACCCAGCTGTCGACCACCCGGACGTAGGGGCATCGGGCGCCGTCGAAGAAGAAGCACAGACTGCCGCTCGTCATCGGGCCCTACACACACGCATCCGGCCAGCCACGCGTGGGTGTGGTGGGGTGGGGTGTGGGGGTGGGGTGCCTCCACGTGCCGATCGGTCTGTGTGTGTACCTGCAGCTGTGCGTTTCTGACGTGCAGGGGTATCTCGAATGGCTGGTCGTCGCCCTCACGCAACTCGTTCTCTACAATCTCGTAATGCAGACGACACAGCACCTCAGGCCTGGCGAGCCACCCCAACCACACACCACCAATGAAAGACACCCCGGTGGTGGCTGATGTCTCCTGTCCTCTCTTGATGCTCACGTGAACATGAGTTCGAGCCAGGTGCCGAGGTGCCTGCCGACCAGCTGCTCCACGCCTCTCGCCCTCATCTGTGCGGTGTTGCACTGGTACGCCGGGTGGCGGGCACCCACCACGTTCACCACACGAGCCGTATACCCCATCGCTGCGCCACATGCATACACCACACGACACAGGGAGCATCAGTCTGACTGCTTCTATGCGCGTGGAGAAAGAGAGAAGGTTAACGTGCAGTGGGTGCGGCGGCTGGGGCCCGGCCGTCGTCGGGATTGATGAGCACAGGAGAGACGTCGGCGCAGGTGCTCGTCCACTTCCACGGCAGCCAGCTGCCCAGAATCGACCTGCGCACGGGCAGAACACAATTGCCTGCACATCTACCTGTGCATGTGTGTGTGTGTCTGTCCATGTACCTGTCCATGGGCTCCGTGTTGAGTTGGTCCACGACATTGTCCGTCCAGTAGCCGGGGAGGGGGCCGCCAAGGTGCTTGGACACATCACCGATACCCTCAGACAGCGTCGTGCCCCAGCCAAAGAACTGACACAGCAAGAGGAGACAACAACGGACTGCAAACATCCGGGAAGGGGTGAAGCGGTCGGTGCTTACGTGTCCTTTCTTCTTGTTGAGGAGGTTGATGCTCCTTGCGTCAGGCTCCAGGCCGCCTAGCTCGAGCTCGAGCTCTGCCTTTCTGTTCTGGGCGGTGTTGTGCGCGGCGGTGTCCTCCTCGTCCTCATGGTCAACCAGCCACCTCACGTTGCCCTCCAACACCTGATCATTGCGTATATGCATCTTGGGGTGACGACTGTGTGCATGTCACTGTGTGTGTGCCCGCGTCAGGTCAGGGTGTGGTGTGTACGTGTTTGTAGATCATGACGAATGAGACGGTGGCCCAGATGAAATAGGCGGGAATGATCAGACCGCAGCCAAGACGCCACCACCAGGTGCTGTCTTCATGCTGACATGTCAGCAAACAGACACAACAACGCGATGAGAGAGAGATACTGCCGAGTGTCTCATGAATCCTCCGGTGCCCTGCAGACAGACTTACAGCGATGATGTATGTGGCGGCCACAGTGGAAGGGAAGAGGATGAAGTACAGCAGGCGGCTCTCCCAGTTGCCGAAGCGAAAGCGGTAAGGGAAGGTGCGGCCCCTGTCAAGGATGTGGTTCTTCAGCAGCAGAACGCAGTGGATGATCAGCAAGGCCGCCAGAAGCAAAGCGCACACAAACAGGCACCCCTGGGCGGACGAGAAGCAGACAAGAAAACAGGTCTTTAGGGATTGACAGGGAATGGGATGTGGCGGCCATTCAAGCAATGAGTGAGTGAATGAGTGACCTTTGCGCGGTTGAGTGAGTGGAGGACCACAAATTCGCTCTCGCCAGCAGCGCCCTCGAGGTCAGCGGAGAGTCTGCGGCCGGTTGTGGGTGTGGTCTCGCCGTCGGGGAAGGGCCAGAAGAGCGTCACCCACTTGGTGGAGTACGTCAGGGCACTCAGCAGCGTGTTGCCCTGCACGCGTGTCAGATGAGAATTGACGGTCTCCTTCTGTCGCTGTCCCTCACTCTCCGCTTGCCTTGGAGATGTCAGAGAAGTCAGTGAATTGCAGGAGGAATGCGAGGCTGGTGAGGATCTCGCTGGCGCCCAGGGGGGCGCCGAAGCCGAGCAGGTTGGCTGCTCCAAGCACCGTCGTCAACACCACAGCGTTGGCCGCTGCAGACAGACACAGAAGAACAAGGCATGATGGCTGGTGCTGCCGTGACGCACCGAGACATATCCACGTGCGTACCAACGGATCCGGCGAGAGTGTATCCCACAGCAGCGACGAACGGGTTCTTCTGAGCACCTCCCGCGCTGAATTTGAGCTTGTAGTCGACCTTGGTATCGCCGGCCGTCACGCTCAAGGTGTATAACTGTATCCAACACACACAGGCACGTGTGTGCTCTCTCCCCTTGGCCTCTTTACTCTGATTGTGTGTCTGACCAACCTCTCCGAGCGATGAATCGAATTCTCGGCTTGGTGTGCCAACAGGCAGACGAACGCCGACTTGCTGCAGTGACACACACATAGAAGGGCCAAAGAGGGTGGAGCAGGGTATGTTTTTTCGTCTATATCGATTCACTCACTGACCCCGTTGCCAGACTTGAGGGTGAGACGGTAGGCGGGGTCGTTCCATGCGATCAGGCGAAGCTTGCTCTTGTCATTGGGACACTCAAACACCTTGGCCTTATCATCCTGATGACCCGCATGAATCAAGCCATCCATCCATCCATCCCTGCCTGCCTGCCTGTCTTGTTGTGTGTCCTTCCCTCTACACCAACCCACCCAGTTGCACGCGAGTCCATTGGACTCGATAGCGATCCGTGGCCTGGGGATGTCGCTGGCGTCCGGATCGGCTGACACCACAAAGAAGAAACGGCGCGCCGCCGTCTGGCCGTTCTGCGTCACGGTACACTCGGCCTGCGTGTGCAGACGGGATGCACGAGATGTGGACACATGAGCTGAGGTGCCGGATGTGCCGGATGTGAGCTTCTGACCTCGAGTGTGGTCTTCATGGCCATCAAGTTTCTGTTGAGGGTGTATGCGGCGCCGTTGGACCAGTCCTTGTACTCAGGGGACACCTGGGGATCCTTGATGCGAAGCGTGCCAAGGCCACAGTCAATCTTGCCCGTGACTGACGCAGAAAGTGCCGCAGATGGTGCCGGGGATTGTGTCTCTGTTTGTGTGTCGGTGCCCACCCTGTTTGGTGGTGTCGGCGACATAGACTGCGAATCTGTCGATGTCGTATTCGATGTCAGGGTGGATGGACAGCATGTTGGACTGGTCGTCGTAGAACTTGGCGTCGCTGATGCCCACCAGGGGAGGCGCCTAAGGAGCGACATGACCTCAAGACATTTGTCGCAGGTAGTGTGTCTTTCCTGTGTCTGTGTGCGCGTACCTTGGATCTGTCGATCGTGAAGGTGTATGTGAGCTCCGCGCCAGTGGCGGGGTTGATGAAGGCGACCTTAGTGTTTGTTTGCAAACTGACGATACGACGGACAAGAGAAAGGGGACTGACTTCTCTCCCGTCCCATCTGTCCCTCTCTGCCTTTACCTGTCCATCTTGAGGAAGATGGTCTCGGTGATGAGACCATAGGGGTCCACATCTCCCCCGTCCACCTGCACGCGGGGGTACTCGCCCACCTTGAGCTTGTCGGTCTCCAGCTCAATCACGAACGTGATGGTGCCATGCAGATGGCTGATCTCGATGTTGTAGTCGTAAGTGTCGGGGTCGAAGTCCTGGCTCCACTTGCCGTGGCTCGTCGATATCTTGTGCGGCTTCAGCCATATGTCGATGTCCTCGCCTTGCGTTCCCAACGGAGCGATCAAAAGGGCCACACAGATGCACACGAAGAAGCTCAAGAGGCCGCTCTTCCGGCGGCCGACGAAGGAAAAGGAAGGCGCCTTTGCCCTGCCGTCCGACGCATCCGGGGCGTCAGACCTTCTCTCTGCTGCGGTAGGGGCCTCCATCTGGGGCTATTTGCAATGGTGGAAGCCTGGTGCAGCTTCGACAAGGAGCCGGCGCGAAGTCACCTCCTTCGCATGCGATTTTGCGGTAAGGACTCTTCGCAGCTGTCCTCTCAAGAGCTGGGAGACGCCCAGGTGTCCGGCGGAAAAGAAAAGACAAAAGGAGGGACGCGTCGCTGTCGACCAAATCGGCCCCCAGGAGATCCTCCCGCCCCCACGGCTAAGCTCGCGCTGGAGAGCTGCCTTCCTCAGATCTGTATCTCAGTGGAGTCGAAAATCCGAATGCCACCTCAATCGAGATTGTGAAGTGAAAACCGTTCAACATGCACCTCTTCACCCTGGCCGCGATATGGCTTCTCACATGTCTGGGGCGTGCCCTCGCCTCCCTGCGAGTCGCCAGGACGCTGCGAAGAGGCATCTTGATTTCCCTCTCTCCTCTTGCTCCGTCCCCGCTGCGCGTGCACAAGCTGCAAAGGAGACGAGATGGAATTATCGGCGGGCGACTGGAGGCCTCAGAAGTCAGCACCAGCACCAGCACCAACACCACCGACGGCAGAGAAAGACACACCAGCGCCGCCCGCAACGAGACCACCGAAGAGTCCCGTTTGTCGGCCACTGACTGCAGCGAGAGGGCCTCCAATGCGACGAGGTCATTCTGTGTGATGGGATGTCCGCTGTTCGGCCAGCTGGATGATGACCAGACAGACGAGGAGGGGACGACCCGCGTGCCCCTGCCTCTTCTCTCTAGCCTTTTTCCCCAGCTGCAGCCCCTCTATCGACGATTCATCGGCACCGCCGCATTGCAGGAGAGAAGACATGACAACGATACGGGGAGAGCGCACACGGCTTCCTTTGTCGAGTCAGCGAGTGAGGAGGAGATGCTCTGGCATCTGCCTCTGGAGAGCGATGCGGGAAAATGTCTCACCTTCCAGCGCCTGCTCAAGGCTGCGGTGATTGGCGTGCTGTACCCCATCGACAGCCAGCCTCTCCTGTACCCCCCCATCCCCCATCCATACGACCACCAGTCTATATGGCGGCAGCCGACACCCCCTGCACGCCACGAAGTGCAGCCACTGCTCGAGTTGGCACAGCAGGACCACTGGGCGGCAAGGAATGCCGATTCAGCCGCCGTGTCACCGGTGTCTCTCTTGCAGAGGCAGCGAGCGTCGGCGGAGAGTGAGAGCGGAGCCGGGGAGTATGCGGACGAGAGGGGGATTGGGGATAAGTGGGATAAGATGATGAAAGCCGACCAGAAATTCGAAGAGAAGAAGAAGGACGTGATGGGCAAAGAAGGAAAGTGAGTGAGTGACGGCTGAAAGAGGGCATCAAACAGACCATGGCATGTCTCATCTATATGCCTAGTGTCGGCTTTGTCTGCGCAGCGTCGCCGGCACTGTCCTGGGTGCGGCGTTCCCCCAAAATTGCATCGTCGAGTCGGCCTTTCTCTACTACATCGAGCCGGACGAAGACGACTTCAAATTCCAGCCCTCGTGCTTACTTGGAACGGGACGTGCGTGACCTACCTACCTGCACGGATGTGTGTTGCCCCCTCACCCCGTTGGTTCTGTGTGTCTCACTCTACCACTTGCAGAGAAGATGACTGTGTGCTTTCCACGCGACGGCACCGTCGTGACACCTGAAGGGGCCAAGACAATGGAAGAACTAAGAGAGGGTGCGGGGGCTAAATGGAAGAGAGAGACACCTCGGTGAAGCGTGTTCCTCATTTGGTGCACCTTTCGTGTGCAGGCGACATGGTGCTATCGATGACCTCGTCAGGCAGTCCTTTCTTCGACCAGGTCGTCACTTTCCTTCACAGGTCAGTCAGTGTCAACAATAGGGAGGGAGGGATATATCCTGCGCGAGAGAGACACAGACCCTTGTCTTCGCTAGGGCCCCTCACGCCATGCCCCCCGCGTGGATTGATATCCATTACCGCCCGCTCTCACCACCATCACATCTGACTCAGAACGGCAATATCAGCAATGTCCACGACGGCAGACTGCGTCTCTCCCCCGAGCATTATGTCTATGTATTGCTGCGGCGGCGGCTGAGGGCAACAGAGGCTCAGCAAGTCCAGCCAGGCGATTCTCTCATCGTCCATGTGGCTAAGACGTCAACATGGTCATTGGCGAGTGTCTTGCGTGTTCGACCGATTAGCTCGTCTCAACAAAACAGCGGCCTCTACGCGCCGCTCACCTTCTCTAGGCGCCTCTTTGTTGATGGCGTGCTGGTCAGTGTGTATAGCTTTCCGGTGCAGTGGCCCCGCGTGCTGCCCTTCCCCGTGTGGCTGCCGCAGCTAGTGACGTGGCCCGTCAGAATGTGGCATACATGGACACCGAAAGCCCTGCACCACTGGCAAATCGACCCACCTGCAGCAGATACAGCAAGGAGACCAACACAGAGAGACAGAGCAGAATGGCTGCTGCTGATGGGATGGTTGCGGGAGCAGGGCCTACGGTGGCTGTCAGCCATTCACCGACTGCTGAGCAGATGGACTTATGGTGGGGCTGCGGGCGAGCGGGACGTTTCCACCCACCCTGCTTTGGAGATCATCCGGCTGCTCTCTCATGTGGTGTTTCGATAAACGAGTGCATGGATGGATGGATGGATAGACAGTAGAGAGTGTGTGACTATGTATGTGTGTGTGCCATGGAGATTTGTGCATCGGGTGGTTTGATGCGCGGGAGTAAGAGCTTGGGACTCGACTCTGTACACGCATGTAAGTGACGCATTTCATCCGCACCTTTGTCCACCGATTGATTCGGTTCGGTCTCTCGCCACGCACATGGCGTGGCATCGATGAGTCCCGCCAGCAACTCAGTCAGTACACAGCCGTCCACACACACACACACACACACTGCACCATAGCCAGGTATCCATCACTACAAATAGATATGATATAGTGTAAAGCAAAACCGCTGGCACGCAGCCAGGAAAATTAGAAGCGAAACACAGAGGGACAGAAGGCGGCGGAAACAACAAACAGACGCCTCTTACTTACACATGAGTAGATAAAGAACGTATTTATGTATGGCTACAGCCCCTCGAGCACGGCGGTCACTTGCGCCAGCAGCTGGTGTGCGTCCGCCAGCTTCTGGGTCAGGCTGTCGAGGCTAACCTGCAGCTCCTCCGCGATCGCGTCCATATGGGGCGCGTTACCGATGTCATCGGCGAAGTAAGGCGCCACTCGGTGCATGAGTAGATACAATACTCCGCCGAGGTTCCAGGAGTGCACCCACCAGAGGAGGCCGCAGAGGGAGAAGGAGAGGAAGCCCTCGCCGTTGCACTGGTCCGTGGTGAAATGCAGCAGCAGTGCGAGGGGCAGCTGCAGCAGGAGGAGGCACCAGAACAGCCGCCCGCCCCTCACACGCCACTCCATCTTGCTCTGCAGGCGGCCGGGGCAAGCAACAACCACAGCACACAACGAACGCGCAACACACCACATCACATCATCACCATGCCTGTTTCCATCTCGTCCTTCTGATCTGACTGCCATTCACTGGCTGCCCTGCCTCACCCTGTAGGCAGTGAAGGTCTTTTCTGCTTTCTGGAGCTGCGACAAGTCCTGTTGCAGCGCCTCAAGCTCATGCTGCAGGATCTGCTGCTGCACTTGGAGGCTCTGCACACTCGGCTGCACGTTGGGAACGAAGGTCATCACCTTGCTGGTGGCCAGATCCTTGGCGGTAGCGGAGCGGCCTGTGGCTGGAAATCAAATCACACTGCAGCAATGCCAGATGTGAGTCAGGCCTTGAGTCAGGCCACCACATGTGTGTTTGTGCACAGCAGCATACCGAGAACTCCCATCCCTGAGGCGTTCGTTGTGTCAGAGCGCTTCAAAGTGCTTCTACTACGGCTCGGAACCGACCAGCTCTCGTCCTTCCTCGAGCTCGCCTTTAAGCTTGCACGTCAAATCGAAGTCTGATGCATGGACTGATGGGGCTGATGAGTTATCTGTTCATGGTGACGGCCATTCAAGACAGCAGCGGCTCGCTTGATGTACTGCCACTCACAAAGCGGAGGCGGATCTGTCGCTCAAGTGCACATCCCCTCGGCAACCATCCTCCTCCCTGCTTCTCCAACCTCCCTGGAGCACGTTGCAGAGGGAGAGCATCTTGCACTGCGAGGGCCGCTCGCAAGCGCCGTCCATCTTTCGACGTCGCCAGCTTTGATCTGAATGACGAACTCACCGGAGAAACGGGCTACACGGACGAGAACCCCTATGTCGATGCGCTTCCACAAACTGAGGTCAAAAGCATCAGAGATGTGGACATTGACGAGTTGCTCGCCAAGCTCGACGGCACTGCTGCAGCAGAGGGAGGCAAGGGCGGCAAGAAGGAGAGGTCGGCAGGGGCCGGGGGAGGGAGGGCAGGGGGGCGTGTGAGGGGCGACATCGGTAATAGGGACAAGCTGCTCAAGACGCTGGAGATAAAGGGGATGGAGGCGATGCCTGCACGGCAGGCACTCGATGCTGCTGAACAGGCCTCACGGTACGGTTTCAACACCACACACGCGCAAGGACAGGCAGCATAGCGTATTGTCTGCCTGTGTGTGTGTCCGTGTGTCAGGCAGTGGCGAGTGACCAGCACTCATTTCCTTCCTCCATTGGCTGTCGATGTGCTCCGAGAGGCCTTTGACAAGATCGCCGCTGTCACCTTGCACAGCTGGGGCGGCTTCCCAGGCGCCGAGAGGCAACGCGTCTTCTTCCACAAGTAGCCCACCGGCCGGCAAGAAATGGCGCATCTACCCGATTACCATCGCACATGTCTGTGTTCTCTTGTCTATATGCAGCAGCGAGATGGTCATGGAAGATCAGGCCTGGAGAGAGGAGTACGAAGATGCCTTCACCGTAAGCAACGGCAGCAGCTGGCAAGAACACGCCTCCCGTCTTCATGCAGGCGTTGGCTATTGAGGGAAACTTCCTCTTCGACCCGGCTGATCATCGCGACTTCCTGGGTGCGATTCTTGGCAGTGGCGTCGAGCGAGATCGAGTGGGTGACGTTCTCGTGCTCGGCCAGCGCGGCGCCCAGGTCATCGTCGAATCAGACGTGGCGGAGGTCGTCAAAGCGGAGCTCACCAGGTTCACATGACATGCGCCAAACACCGCAGGCAGGAGCATCCCTCATTGTGTGTGGGGATTGTGTCTCTGGTTTAGTGTTCGGACGGTCAATGTGTACGTTGAGCCGATCCCCTTTGACGAGCTGCGGGCGGGCGAGGCCAAGAGGAAAGAGGTGTCGTCTGTTGAGGCGTCGCTGCGCCTCGATGCAGTGGCCAGCGGCGGCATGCGAATCAGCCGGTCCAAGATGGCCAAGATGATCGAACAGGTTAGTCAATCCAATCATCCGTCCACCCCGCCCATGCCGGAGGGTTGATGGATGCGATGTGTTCATGCTGTTATGCCATATGGTTGTGTGTGTGTGAGTGTATTTAGGAGGGGGTGGTGTATGTGAATTGGAAGGAGGTGCGTTCATCGAGCAAGGAGGTCAAGGCGGGGGACGTCATCACAGTGAGGGGCAAGGGGCGGCTGGAGATTCATGACATCTCGCGCACGTCACGGGGACGATACAGACTGCAGATGACCAAAGTAGGGTAGGACTGTGGATCGATGGATGGATGGACGCAACGCTGTAGACTGCGTGGGTCAATGTGCAGCGACCCGGATAAGCACGTGAAGGGCTGCGTATAGTTGACCGGTTGGCACAAAGTGAACGTCTCCCAAGTCAAAATTCGACCTGCACTCTACTAGTGAGTCAAGTGCATCAGCAAACAGACAGACCATGACGCTTCCGGCCCCACAGCCCAAAAACGCCCCCCAACCCTTGGCTAGTCGCACTGGATAAGTAGGGACAGCTCTCTTCCGACCTAGGTGTGCCTCTCTCACTGATCAGTCTTCCTTGACTGCCTTGTCTTTGAATGTGTAATGCCTTCCCTCCATCGCACGGCGGTGGGCTATCGCCGCCTGCTTGGCGCCCTCATAGCCCAGCTCACGCACAGAGAAGGGCTTCTTCTTCTGTTTGCCGCTCTCGCGCCACTGAGCGACCCATGAGTTGCTGCCCTTGTCGTAGTAGACACCCTTGACGCCGCTCTGGTTCTCCGATGGCTTCTTGACCGCCGCCCGTCCGGTGCGCTCCAGCTCACGACGATGCTCCTCGGCCAACGCCTGACGGACGGAGGCACACATGTGGGACACTCAGAGAGAGACAGACGGGACGATAGGAGGCGTTAGCGCACCTTGGCTCCGTCGAAGCCATGGTCTTTGACGGAGAAGTTCTTCCATTTCATCTTCGGGTCGCCCCTCTCGTGCCACGATGCCCTCCAGCCCTGACTCGCCTCATGCCAATGTACCCCCGTCACGTCCGACTGATGCTCTGCAGTTGGTGGGACACACAAAGGTCAGTGATTGCGTTTGAATTCGCTTCTTGCGCTCCTCACCGGATTTTGTGATGACGGTCTTGGTGCTGGTCTTCTTGTCTGTGTCGGCGGCCCACTCGGGATTGAGAGTATAGATGGACGATGGCACATCACCGGCAGGGGCCGACACACCATCCCTCTTGGCTGCCTTGGGCCTCCGTCGTGGCTGGGGAGACGATGAGCTGCTGCCGTCATGATGGTCGTCACAGCTGTCAGACTGACGTGCCGCCCGAGCGACGCTGTTCCTCTGCCGGCCACCCCGGCCCCTTGTTGCGCCACCTTCTCGACGCCCAGGGGGGGCGGGCCGGGAGGCGAGAAAAAATGGACGGGGGAGGGCGGGAGGGGGGAGAGGAGTCGAGGGGCGGGTCGTCACTGGGCCCCTTGGTGCGCTTGCGACGCTGCGGGGGAGGGCTCCAGCCGAATTGCCCCTCAAGCATCCCGCCGTCCGTCTGTCCCTCCCCCTGCTGTGCCTGCTGCAGCCACGACAGATCGATGGCCATCGCCCGATCGCCCACACGGGACTGGTGGAGGGCATTGCGGCACTCGACAGCCTCACGGAAGGCCGTGAAGATGGCCGCTCGGGAGGCGCCATAGCCGACAGGGAACTGACGCAGGCCGACGGTCGTCGATGCGTCGCTATCCCAGAAGTAGGCCTCGTAAGTGTAGTTGGTCCGCCACGAAATGCCAATCCTGACACAAACACAGATGGCACTGTCAACATGAGAGCATCCATCAATTACTTGGTCATACTCACCCTCCTCTGTCTGGCGCAAGGAAGTCGTCCGGCTGCTCCTCCCGCGTCCGCCGCATCAACATCCGAGCCAGCTCGTCGCCACATAACCCATCGAGACTCGTCAGCTCTCGATGTGGGCCATGGTGCTCCGAAGGCCGACTGGCGAGGCCGCGGCCGTGTGGGCCGCGCTGGCGCTTGGGAGGGCGGCTTTGGTTGAGGGAGCCATCACGTCCATCACCATTGCTGTCGAGGGAGGGGAGAGGGAGTGGGTCGCGGGAGAGGGGCCGCTTGCGACGGTCGCCAGGGCCTGCAAGGGGACATATTAGCAAGCAAGATGGGAGCTAGTCATACATTGGCCCTGTCTGTGTCATTGATCTCACTCACCTGTGTCACGACATGGGCTGGCCGGCTTCTTGTGTTTGGGAGGCCGCGACACCGCTGGCTTCTTCCCACGCTGCGGAGCCCTCCACTGCACCACTTGCCTCTCCTCGCCAGCCACCACAGCAGTGACGATCTCGAAACGCTCGTCGGTTTCCACCGATCCCGCCCGCGCCGCCGTGAGCATGTCCGTCAGTCGCCACAGCTCCCACCCAGTGGCCGTCCCGTTGGAGTCGCGATACACCGCCGCCCGCACACACAGGGGCTGGTCGGCATCGCTGTCAGATGGCCAGCCGGTGACCAGAAAGTGCCGCCCGTCCGCCATCTTCTCGGCGCTAAACTGCATGCCCTCGTAGGCCGCCGAGTACGCCGAGTGGCCGGGGTCCTGCTTGTGTCGTATCGTCCTCAGGAGCTGCCCAACGGTGTTCCTCTCGTCTCCCGGACCACCTACCGCTACGGTCGGGGAGGCATGGTTGGATGGACCAGCGGCCGGTGGGGGCGAGGGAGATGGCGTGTCGATCGCCCTCTTGTTGGCGACACGTGAGGGGGCCCTGTGGCGTGCTGAATGACCGCTGCCACGCGGTTGTGGGTTTGTGTGGTTGGCTGGACAGGTATCCTCGTGGCTTGGGTGTGCGAGAGATTGGGGTGGGGGTGGGGGAGAGGGCGACACTGGGCCTGCATCGACTCACGCAACAGAGATGGCAGATATGGGAACTGACAAGCTGTTTGACCTTTTTCTCCCCCTCCCTCTCTCTCTCACCTGCTGGGTTGTCGTTAGGTGCATCTACAGTCGGCTTCATCATGAGATACCGCCGGGCCCCCTGGTGGCTCGTCCTCACCTCAAAGGGCTCGTCCGCTGCTATCGGCCCCCCCTTCTCAACCCGCTTCAGCACCTGCGTCAGGTCGCCCAGCAGCCAGCCCTTCTTCGGGTCCCGAGTCACGCCCCACTCGGCGGCGAACAGCTCCCCCTGGCTGTCGTGGAAGGGCCCTGCGAGCACCTCATACGCGCCGTTTCCACCATCGACGCTGCGCACAGAGAACTGCACTCCTTGATAGGCCGGATGGTATGCCGATGTCCTGGTGGGGTCGCCTCGCTTCTGCAGCAGCTGCCGCAGTTGCTCCAGAAGACCATCTTGATGGAAGGGAGGGACATTTGGGTGAGCTGGGGAGGGGGAGGGGCATGTGGCGGCCGCTGACATTGACTGTGGATGGGGCATGGTGGGCGTCGAAGCGGTAGCCGATGGGCCTCCAGCTGCAGGGCCTCCATCACAAGCCCCACGGTGGCCCCCCGCCTGCCGCACTGTCCTGCCGCACGCCACCAGGAGCGTAGCCCTCCTGGTTGATGTCCATCGCCGCTACTGAGGCTGCTGCAGATGGCTGATGGGCCGCTGTGGGATTCTGCATGGCTGGAACGACGCAGGCAGCCGCAGCCTGGGATGAAGACGAAGCAGCAGCATCAGCCGATGAAGCTGGCTCGCCGAGATGGGCGGCTTGGGTCGCCATCGTCACTCTCGTTGCTGCTGCGCTGTTGGCTGTGTCATCGGCTGTCGTGCACCGTCCCTCGAGCCGGAGTGACGCCCTGCGGACGTCAAGTGGTCGTAGTGATTGAACTCGGTAGGTGAAGAAGGATGGTGAAGAGGGGAGAATGTTCAGCAGAGATCTACCGCAAAGGACATCATTGCGCCACGAAAGGGAAAGGGACAGATCCGCATCCCTCAACTTCTCAAGCTCGCATTCCGAGGGGGAGACGACTTTCCTCGCGAGGCCTTTCGTGTGTGGCGATTAGGATGTACCGTTGATTCACCCATTGGCCATCCATCGCAAAATGCTCGGCAAGAAGCGCAAAGCGAATGATGGTGCTGCTGCTGCTGCTGCGGCTGTTGCTGGCGAGCCGTATGACGATGACCAGCGACCCCCCTGTCCCCGTATTGGCCGCCAATCACTCGACAGGTCGGTGCACAAAGCCATTGCGGCCCTGCTTGCAATCGAGAACGCGGCCAGAACCGCCCGCCAGCAGCTGCAGAGCAAAGCCCACTCCATCAAGGAGATCATCGAGAGCACAGGAGCGCGTGTGGAGCTGACGGGCGGCATCGATGGGGAGGTGGAGCTGAATGTGGGCGGGCGGGTGCTGGGCGTGTCGCGCAAGGGGCTGTTGTTGGAGCAGATGCGGCACACCTACTTGGCCCATCTGCTGCTGTATTGTGTGGATGCCCTGCCGCGCGATGAGGAGGGCCGGCCCTTCCTCGATGCAGATCCACTCTACATAGACTGGTGAGTGGAAGGAAGGAGGGGAAAGCGGGAAATGCATGGGATGTCGTGTCATTATGTACCTGTGTCGAAAAGGTTGTCTGACGAGATTTCGATCGCCGAGGGCAAGGAGGCGCAGGGTCAGGAGAAGACCATCCAGCTCGACGACACCCAGGCGAGAGACCCCTCCTTCGCCGCTTGGCACGAACTCTTCATGAAGACCACATCACTCGATATCGACGTGCCGTCAGAGGACGCCGAGATGGACGAGGGCGAGGGGGATAAGGATGGGGGCAAGGAGGGGGAGGGTAGCGTGATGGACAAGATCCGGAGGTATATCGAGGGCTATGACGCGGCGATGAAGGAGCTGGACGGCGCGGCGGGGCAGCTGAAGGACTTCGGCAAGACGGTGCGGCCCTTCATCTGTGCAGAGGACGGCAGCAAGCACCAGGTGAAGACGGTGACCATCCTGCGCAAGAAGGTGTCGACCACCGAGGCGACGCTATCGCAGCTCGGCCCCGGCAACCCACTATACAAACGATTTAGGTCAGAACTCGCCCACCATGTCGACTGCGAGTGGACGGCAGCAGTGCGTTCTCTTCTGTGTGTGCGGCGTGCAGTGGCGAGGTGGTGCAGGGCGACGAGCCGATCCGCCAGACCTCGTGCGAGCACTTCATGAGGGTGACACGGGCACACGCGGAGGGGGGAGAGGGGGCATGTGGCAGGGAGCCTGCTTGTTGTCGTTTGGTGACCGTTCAGGTAGTCGATTTTGCCCGTAGACTGCGGTTTGAGAACCGTCCTGGCAGCGTTGTCAGGCACCCCACAGCCCGTGATATGGACCAGCTCAAGGTCCATGTGGTCATGTGCGTCGCCTTGTGCTTCATCATTGGTATTCTTGTGCTTTGTGTGTGCGGTTGCAGGTTGACGTTGAGATGTTCGGCCTCAAGATGGAGGACGTGCAGCGGCCCCTCTCCCCAATACTCAACACCGACGAGACGCGCGAGGTGGTGGCCATGACGGACGTGCCCAATCCCACACCCAAGCTCCTTTACAGGTACGCAGAAACGACTCTGATCTCTCGTCGTTCTGTTTCCCTGCTTCTCTGTCACTTCGACTCGTGACAGTGGCGATTTTGGCACGATGGTGGACAAGGTGGGCGACGCGAGCGGTCTGCTCTTCCTCGTCAACCACGACGACACACACCGATTCGGCGCCTTCCTCCAGGGCCAACTCAAGCCGCCCGACCCCACACAGACCAATGAATACAAGCTGCCCCTCTGCCTCATTTCGATCAGCGGTGCATACTCTCGGCCAACCAAGGTGCCCATCCCCGAGGCCAGACAGTGGGTCAGTGTCGCCGGCCGTGATGGATGGATGCGCGCATCCATCACGGCCGGCAATGTGGACTCACGTGGCAAGGTGGGTGGCGGGTATACACAACGGTTGTCACTGCAATGAATGGCACTGAACCAACTGACTGGTTGTCACATGTCCGTCTTGTGTGCAGTTGCATTTGGGCCGTGGGTACCTGTGGTTGGCTTTCGCCAGGCCCGGCCCGGCAGATGATCTGCGCAGCATGCATCACTGGGTCAAGAAGGTCGACCTGCCGCAAGGATATCTGGGAACCATCAACTCCAGCAGCGACGGCACGCTGGCAGCGAGCAACACATTCACAGCGAAGGAGATCGAGATATGGCACGTGACGGGCGGCGCTGCGACGACTGCGTGAGTGAGGTGTCCTAGGAGATCACCATCAACCAGGTGGGCGGATCAGTGCCGAGGGGAGGTGAAAGGATGGGTTGAGACGTTACGTCCCTGCGTGCTGTGAACCTCAGGTGAAATCGGGATGAGTGAGAGGAGGAGCGAGTGTAGCAACAGCAGCGGATTTAGACACGGCACTTTGCATACTGCCTGGTGAATGGATGGATGGATGGATGGACAAATCTTAACGAGTGCGTGAGACTCTCATCCCATCGACCCACACCACACCGAGTTGCACAAATATAGGCTTAGCGTACACACAATCAGGTGGTCCGCGTCAGGCATCGTTGTACGTCCACACATCCAGTAATACATGCATCATCACGTGTCTGTCGAGAAACAAATACACCAACCAAACACCACACCCGATATGATAACCACAGGCCGGCCGCTGATGATCCCACTGCACTGCAACCAACTCATCCTTCCTATCCCCGCTGCTCGTCATCTTGTGAGCGAGTCGATAAATGTGCTCCAGTGGGAAGACATCCGGGCCTTCTTGAACACACGCACCGGATCCTGACCACACACATACACCTCCCTAGAGTGTCCGCGTGACATCCTTGTTGGGTTCTCGACTCACCTCGGCCTTCGCAGGATCGGTCGCCCCCGCCTTCTTTCCCCTCCTGGCCCTCCCCTCCCCTCCCGAGTCCGACCCCGAGCTCGCCAGCATGCCCTCCTCGTTGCCCTCATAGTCAAGAAATCCACGCAACGCCTCATACCCATCAGCGTCGTCATCTTTCTTTGTACGCGGCCTGCCGGGCCCTCTCCGCGCCCCGCCCCTTTGGCCTGGCTTGGACTTGCCCCGCCCTCGGCCGCCTCTGCTGCTCTTCCGCCCTCTGTCAGCGGCGCCTTCGCTGCGGGCGGGGCGCGCAACAGACGAGGGAGGCGGTGAGACCGATCCGTCCTCGTGCGCACTCCTGCCTCTCATCCGTCTGTCTGGGGACTCTGGAGGGTCATCGGGGATCGGCGCAGGGATGCCAGCCGCTCGTCTCTCCCGCCTCATCTCCCTCGGATCGCTGTCGGGGTGGCCGTCTGGGGCTGCGGCTGCTGGGGCCATGGCCTCGTCCCCGTCAGGACCGTCGTCTGGCGCCTGTGGCCTTTCCCCCCTCTCCCTTCTCGGGTGGTTGTCGAGGTCAGAGAAGAACGCTGTGCCCGTGGGTGTGTCAGAGAGGGTACGGCTTGGGGAGTCCGCCCGTGGCTCCCTATCGCGCACAAGTGGGGGAGGAGGAGGGGGAGGGGGGGCGGGGGGAGGGAGTGGGGGATGGGGCGCCAGGGTCTTGAGACAGTCCTCCAGCTGGTTGGCGGCCCGGCGCAGCATCTGGTGGGTGTGGAGCTCCGCAGGGGTCAGCCCGTCGCCCGAGTCAGGGAAGGCCTTGAGAGCTCTCCGCGCCAGCAGATGGGCCGCCTTGACCCACCGCTGCCGCACGTGCTTGGCCGTGGTCCCGTCAGGGCGCCGCCAGCCGTCGCCGATGGACCGCTGGCGTGACGGGACGGGGCAGTCGGCTCGGAGGTAGAGAGCCCCCACGTAGCAGGTCATCTGCGCCACGCCCTGCAGCAGCTCCCCAGCGCTCTTGAAGATGTCCATGTCGAGCGACTCGGCGGCCTGGGAAGCCTCTCCCGTGGTGCGCGGCTCTCTCTCCCTCCCTCTCCCTCTGCTGTCGGGTTGATGCGATGTGGCTGACCGTGACGGTCGACTGCTGTTGTTGTTGTTCCTCTGTTGTCTGAGTGAGAAGAGGTGTGCCGGGTCGATGTCGGGGCCGGACTGCTTGGCGACGAATGCCAGGCAGAGGCTAGACAGGAGGGGGCGGCCGTGGGCGTCGAGGGTGTGCACGCGGCTGTTGGGATGGGAACACACACGGACGCGACACATGAGAGTGGCATGGATGCATCTGCATTTGAGCGTGTCTGTGTGTTCAGCTGACCTGAATATGTGCTGCTGCAGCAGGACAGCACTGACGAACTCCAACACCTCCAGCTGCACGCCACGGTGAAGAACCGCAGACCGGCCCGTCCTGTGGACACAGCACCGAAGAAAAAGGGAGACAGCCACAGCAGGTGTGTCGCTTGTGTCGCCCGCTTGTCGGTCGTTCCTACACGTACCAGAGCGCCGCGTGTGAGATGACATATCCGAGTGTCTCCGGCAGCTCCCTGACTGGCTGGTGCCGCAGACACACCGCCACGATGTCCCGCAGCACCGCCTCGAAGCCCTCCTCCAGCCACGCGTTGCCCGTCTTGACCGACACGGGCGCACACTCCAGCTCAATCGACCCATCGCCCACCGCCGCAAAGCCGAAGCTGAGCAGCCGTCTTTCCCCTCTCCTCTGCTCGTCCACCTCCTCGCCGTCCGCATCACCATCGCCACCGCCACCGTCGTCACGGGACGCCTGGCTCCTCGCCCGCTTCTTGGCATTCGGGGCGCTCTTCCTGGCGAATGGCTGGTGGTCGGCCGGGAGGCTCTCGGAGGAGTCGTCGACGAGGTTGATGAGCGTGTCGCTCTCCCTGTCATTGGTGGGGGGCATCCCCTCCAACCCTCCGCCCAGCAGCAGAGAGGGGCTGCTGGTGCTGATGGGGAGGGCCCTGGGCGGCCCGCCAGACGACCGCCTGGCCTGCATGGTGCGGTACATGCGGCGGCAGTCGGAGGCGGCCGAGCGGACGGGGAGGCATCCCTTGAGCACGTCCTTGAGGAACGTGTTGCAGTGGGCCCTCACACCCTCGTTGCACAGCGGCATCAGCCGTTCGATGAGCGACAGGAGGCTGTTGATGCAGATAGCCGCTGTAAGCCCGCCCGCCTCCCGGATGGCAGGGCTCGCCGAGTCCAGCTTGGCCGTGAAGGGGCCTTCTCGCGCGTAGGGGTCTTCATTGTGCTGGTCAGCTGGCCTGCTGCCGTCAGTGTCGCGGGCGAGAAGGGATGATGATGGGACGGGAGGAGTGGGGCTGGGGAAGGGGGATGGGGCTGTGGGTGGTGGGCGGTGGTTTGGTTGCGAGTCCTCTGGGTCTTCGGGTATGGTGGCGTTGTCGTCGTCTTCATCCTCATGTGTGCTGTAGTGGCGGACGACAGACCTGTCGAAGACCCAGCACTGGAGGCGGAACAGCAGGAGCTTCTGCACCCTGTCGAAGCACAACACGGGCAAGGCCATGAGATCAGTTAGTTAGTCAGTTAGTTCGGTCGCGTGATGCGGGTAGTCTGACCTAGAGATGAATTGCGCCAGGCCCATCAGGCCGTGTCTGAATCTCTGGCCGCCTCCGTCCTCATCCATGGTCTCGTCACCGTCGTGGTCCGACGTCTGGCGGGGCACCTGGGGCATGGCGTCACACATACTGCCCTCATCCACAGCACCGCTCGCCAGAAGGCTCGCCAGGCAACGAACGAGAAGCGTTCTGCAGAGTGAGGATCGACAGAAGTATCGGTGCATCGACTCGAGTGTCCTGTCCCTAACTGACCTGTAAACGAGTCTGTGAGGGTCTCTGAGTTCCTGCAGCAGCGCCTCATCGGTGGCCATCTCGGCGAACAGCAGCCCCACGATTGTTTTCAGCCCCCCGCCCCCCTCCAGCCCCTCATACACCTCCACGCCATCAGCCGCCTCGGTATCTCTCAGCGCCGTGCACGCGTCAGGCGCCTCCCGCCACAGCCGGGCAATCATGCGATCGAGCCGTTCTTCAGAGAAACCCTCCTCCCTCTTGACCTGCGCCAACTTGCTCGCCCACGCACCCCGCCGTGCCGCCTTGGCCCGGGAGGGACGCGCGACGTGGTCCACATAGCCGCTGGACGGTAGGCAGCCGACGGTGAGGGGAGGGGTCGCGGGCAGGGACACCCTGATGGACGCTGTCTGCGCTGCGTCGCTGGGACCAAGAGGGGGGGAGAGGGGGCTGGTGGGAGGGTCAATGGTCACGCGGCCGCCGTGGATGGTCGCCAGGCACTGGATGGCGATGGCCATCAGCTCCATCTCAGCAGCCATGCGCCGCCTCTGCACCTCGCCCAGGGCACGGGCTAGCTCGGCACAGAACGGCCCATGCCCTTGTGGCAGAGGCAGCCTGCGGCGCCACGTCGACGGCAGGGGGGAGAGAGAGTGGGGCGCCACCTCGTGCAACAGCTTGTAGAGCTCGCCCAAGGTGTGCCACGCGAGCTCCGTGGGAACCTCGGCCGTCTCGCGTGTCGACACGTGACAATGTCGCGCTGACCGCTGCTGATGGAACCGAATGTCGCAGTCAGTCAGCCGAATGGACATCGGGTCGTCGTGAGGCGCTCTCGATTGCCCCGCGCCGCGCGGAAGACCGGGCTGCGTATCAGCAGAGAAGGAGATCGCCATTCGCAGCTTGAGGACGGCTTGCGTCCACACGAGGCAGGTCCAGCAGCACCGGGAGGGCTCAGACGGGAGGCCCTCAGAGGGCTCCGATTGAGGGTTGACGAGCGGCGGGCGGCACGAGGTGTTGAGGAACAGCGCCACGGCGTCCGGGGCCTCTTCGGGGACCGTTGACTGCGATGCTGGGTGTGGTTGGTCGCCATCCCGCCTCCTTGCCGGCCGCAGCACGGCAGCCATGTGTGGCGCGAGGAAGTCTTGTGCAACGTCGTGGACGAACCCACGGGCCTCGTGGGAGGAGCGGCTGGGGTGGGAAATCTGTGAGAGGGAGAACTGCACGTCACACCAAGTCTGAAGGACGACCACAGAAAGAAAGACAGAGGCATGCATGACGTGTGTGGGGTGGGCAGCGGTGTGATGTGATGTGATGTGGTGCGTACCCTGAAACATCGTGTGAGGACATGGGAACGTTGCTTGTCGAGCAGGACCTCCAGTGCCGGCCAGCGACGAAGCGACGGTACACTCTGATGGATGACAGACACGACACGACCCGACACACACAGAACATCAATCACGCCACATCAATTCTCACATCCGTCTGTCAAGATTCGTTGTGTGGCTCACCTCTCCCAGCCTCAGTGCGATTGATGCCCCCTCCGCCAGCCTGTCGACGAAGGCCCTCACGGCGGCCACGGGCAGGTCCTCGCGCGATAGCAGCATGGTGCACAACACCTCTAGACACGGCAGCACGTGACGCTCAAGGCGACTGTCGGCAGACGAAGCACGACGGCTGACAAGGACACACACACACGCACAGCAGGCAGGGGTGTACACGAAGGACGATCGTGTTGCGTTGTGCGTCGTCCATCGCTCTCTCTCACCTGAGTGCCATCCGGACCAGTCTGGCCAGGCACGTGGCGACCGCCACCCACAGGGCCTCGCTCTCCTCCGGCGGCGCGTAGTAGCCGTCCCCCCCGCCGCCCTTGCCGCCCTTCCTGCCGACAACCACCCCGCAGCCAGCGTATCGAGCCCGCCTCAGCTGCTTTGCCGTCTGCCCAAGCTGCGACACCGAGACGCCTCCCGTGCGGGCATCGTCGGCGAGATGGGCTCCCCTTGGCCGCGGCTCTGGGCTGCCGGACGAGGCCGCCTTGTGCTTTGCCGCCCTGCTCTTCTTCTTGCCGTGGGAGAGCTCCTGTTCGTCGTCTTCGTATTGGGCGTATCGCTGGGCAGTGGCCGAGAGCATCTGCTGCGCGTCGTGGAGGACCCGCCGTCCGTCGCTGCAGCTTGACGATGACGCCATGGCGCTGCACAGGGCCATGATCTGCTGCGGGGACGCATCCGAGCCGCCGCCGCCGCCCTTCTTGCCCTTGTCGCGGAGCCATCTGGCCTGCCCCCTGCCGGTGATCTCGATGTCCTCGCTCTCCGACTCAAGCCACTGCATGAGGAGACCCATGAGCAGCATCAGCGGCTTCACCGGCCCCTCTCGCGGCAGCGACGACCGTCCGAGGCTCTCGTCGCGACCTGGCCGTCGATCACGTCGCTCGGGTGACACGCAGGGGTCGCCGAGATCGGGACCGTCCTCTGCCTGGAGTGCTGCAAAAGGGGGGAGGGGGGGAATGGGGGGCAGGGCACCGCTCCCGGCCGCCGCCCGCGCCACGCCGGCACTCTTGCGTGGCGGCAGGTCTTGGGGCTGCTTCTCTTGTGCCTGAAGCATCGGGCAGTCCTCACCAGCAGTGCTGGCCTTGTCAGGGCGGGTAGGCGGCGCTGAGCGTGCGGTGTGGAGCCGCGACGGCCGCCTGGATGGGGGAGGGAGGGGCGATGTGGGGAGGGTGTCGCTCATGGCCGATGAGCTGAATGCGGCTGATGCGATGAGCGAGGAGAGGGAGGGCAGTGTCGCTATCGCCATACCCGGCTCGCTCAGACATCTCAACGCATAGCAGACGGCCAGGCCCCGTCCGCTCGACGATCGCGAGTCGTCGCCCAGGTCCAGGGCCCCCATATGCCGACACACAGACCCGGCCGACTCGCTAGCTGCCCCTGCAGCCGCCGCCGCTGCTGCTGCTGCTGCTGGTGGTGGCGGCCCCGGATTCCGAGTCGGGCCCCTCTCCTTTTCTCTCGGTTGCGGCCGGTAGTCGACAACGAGCGCCTGTTCCTCCGCTATGCTTAGCAGCCATCTGATGAACTGAGAGGGGCGGTAGGGCACTGACGGCTCACTGGCGGCGCCGCCCTTGGTCGGCGGGGAGGAGGGTGGAAGGGGAGAGGGGGGCGATGGCGGCCGCTTGGGGTCACGTCTGCCGTCGTGAGTGCGCGGGGGATTCAACTCATCTGATGGCCCTTCCGACCTTGGCAACTCCATGTCGAATGGCTCGGGGGTGAAGAAGCCTGGCGGGTGGGCCGATGACAAGTAGATGGCCCGAAGAAGCGCCAAGAGGAGCAGCCGGGTGGGAGAGAAGAAACCACGCGCCGCCGCAAGCACTAATGAGTGAGGAACTGACCACACAACAGACAGACAGACGAGGGAAGGATGCGTGGATGGATCAACAGGGGGGGAGTGAAAAGAAGGTTTCTCAGCTGCTGTGTGGTTCTCACTGACTGACTTTGTGGCTGCCCCGGCAGTGGCTGTTCTCTTGCTCGCTCGTCGGCTGTGGCGTACATGTGCACCAGCCGCGTCTGCTCTAGCCACCTGCCAAACCACTCGATGACCATTTCGGCGGCACCATCGCTAATCGAGGGATGCCCGCCTATTTCCCGAAACAGCTCCACAACTGATTGACCCACACACACAGCGCACACACAGAGATGCGAGCAAGACTTTCATTTCTATTCGCCTTTCTGCCCACCATCATCTAAGGGCAGCGCCGCCAGCCTCTCCAGTCGCCGAGAAGCCCTCTCCCACCCGCTATGGTAGCCGACATCCAGCCCATCTTCCGCCTGGATGTCGCTATGGCGCTCATCGACCAGTCGGCAGATGAACCGCACCCAGCTGTCGGCGCTGCTACACGAGGCCACGGAATGGCTGCTGGCGGCTGCTCCTGCATTGTCCTGTCGCCCTCTCCGCCCGAAGGCGCCGGTGCTTCGTGTTAACAACGACCGCATCGATCAACTCTTGTCTGCAGCAGCATGGCGTACACAGAACCGCATGGCGCGCCTCTTTTTCGGGTCTCTCTTTTCCTCTCTCCTGTTTTTGCGAGCTTTTTGGCTCGCCGCGGAAGGAGATTACTTGGTGCAAATTGGCGTGGCAGCCGTCCAAGAACACCGACCGAGCTGTCTGTCCCGAACGCTGTCATTGCTTGATCTTGACGAAGATCTGATGTGAACAGCAACTCGTCATTCATCACCCACACCAGAGCCTCCATTCCTTCTGCAGCATATCATGGCAGGGCTCCGGAGAGGCTGCCTGCTGGTGGGCGTCATGGCGGCGTTGGTGTTTTGTTGCTTCCTCCACCGGCGGTTCCGCTACATGTTCCGGCGGCCATCGGAGGAGCAGCGCCTATCGATGTTCTCCGAGTCGGCCTTCTACTACTCATTCTACAACGATGTGGTCACCGCGCCGAGCGGATGGGACGGCCTCGAGAGACTCATGTATGCGACAGGGAGGGAGGGAGGGATGATGCCCATGGGATGAAAGGCGGCAGCCGAATTTGTGTTATGGTTTGGTTTGTGTGTGAGTGGACTGCAGATCTGACCATCGTTCCGAGTATCCGGCTGTAGTCAACGCGCTGAAGCGCTTCAACGTCTACCAGGAGCTGCTGACGGGTCTGGCCTACCGCACCACCCACCAGATGATCCGCCCATTCAGCCGGCGATACGCCGTCAAGGCCTGGAACTTCTACGCGTCAGTGGTGTTCGCCGTCGTGGCTGCCGGTGTTGGGGTGGTTGTGGCGACGGCCAGCTACATCGGCGGGTGGTGGGGGTGCGGCCTGGCCTGCTTCGGCTTCTTCCTGGGCAACTTCGAGAAGCGGCTGATTCTGCGGATCAGTGCCGTCCCGCTGCGGGAGAACTGGGCGACCCCTTTCCTGTGGACCAACATGCTCGCCCTGTCGGTGCTGCTGCGCAACTACAGGAAGGTCAGCCAACGGAGGTCAAAGGAGGGTATTATAAGTAGGGTTTTGCTGCATGTGTTGTGGCCTGCGTGTGTGTAGGTTGGTCGTGGGTGGCTGGTGGTCTATTACGTGTCGACGGTGTTGTTCACGCTGTTCTGGCAGTTCGGGCCATTCGCCCTCACCACACAGGTGGGCAGGGCAGCCAGTGACCTGGTTGCACGTCTGTGTGGATGGATATGGCCGTTGCCTCCCTCCCTCCTGCTCCATTGCCGCAGATGGCGGCCCTGTTTGCCGTGTACATTGTGGGCTACCCCATCTCCGACCTCATGACGCGAGTGCTCATGACGGCGGCAGCTGCCTTCGCCACCACCTTCGTGCTCCAGTTCGGGCCGCGCATCCTGGTCAGTCAGTCAGGGAGGGAGTGTCAGCGTCATGGCCTGGGCACTGCACTGCACGCCGCTTTTGTTGGCGTCTTGTTTGTTCAGCTGCTCTCGTTCTTCCCACAAGTGACGCTATCGATCCTCGCTGCCCACATGGTCCGCCGGAGGCTGCTGCCCGTGCGGTCTGCCAAGCACCAGGTGGTGGTGCTAGGGATGCCTTCGTCGCTTTATGTGTGGGCGGGCCGGTTCTTCCCCAACTTCTGTGAGGGCTTTCTGTCGCTCGTGCTCTTCGCACTGTTGCGGAAGGCTGTGTCTTGGTGGGGTGGGTGAGGTGGGATGACTCCAGCATTGAGTGCATTTCTCTCTCCCTCTGTGTGCGTGTGCGTGTGCGTGTGCGTGTGTGTTTGCAGGATCCCGGCTGACGACACTCATGTGTGGACAATGTTGATGCAGAAGTTCCAGCTGGGGCCGCCCAACTTCGACACGCAGATATACCTCATGGGCGGCACGGTCGGTCGACACGACACACAACCAAGGAAGGCATGGAGGACTGACTCTTCTGGTCGATTGTGTGTGTCGTCACGTCACATGCCACAGGAGTTCCACTACTTCCCCATGTGGATGCTCGACATGATCCGTTCGTCCCGCCTCCACTGGTTCGCCATCCCCGCGGCCCTCATCTACCTCTCCACCGCCATACAAGACCTCCTCTTCCCAACCATGCCCATACCCACACCCACACAAACGCCACGACCAGCCGCAGCAACAGCCAAGAAACAACGCCTCATCGACTCCCTGCTCGATTCAACCATGGCCGTGCTGACCCCCCCAAGCACTGACCACATCCCACCACCGGCCACCAAGGTCGCATCGCAGCAGCAGCAGCAGCCAGACAAAGAGACGGAGGATGCCGCCCCCGCGGAGAGGCGGCCGACGACTGACGGGGATTCGACGATATCGACGCTGTCCAAGGCGACGGGAGAAGGTGCGGGTGGTCATGGCCAGGAGGGCGAGAGTAGCATGCGGCAGAGAGGCCGGCGGGCGGAGGGGGAGGGAGAGGGAGAGGGGGAGGCTCACGGCGATGGCAGGACAGCGGTCAGGAGGGAGGGGGATGACAAAGCCGTCGGTGTGGGTGTTGGTGGGGATGGTGGCTGTGGTGGTGGTGGGGATGACCGACCAGTGGTGGAGCTACACCCGGAGCTGGCCTACCACCTGGCACAGGTGAGGTGGGGGAGCTCACCAATCACACGTGGATTGTATGTGTGCGCAGCGCACGTGACATACATGGATCTATCGTGTGTCTTTGTATTGATTGTGTCTCGATGATATGATGCATCCCGTCCTGCAGACCATTCTCTTTGTCGGTGCGGCGTACCTTGTAGCACGGTAAGACACGCAATGACAGTACGGCACAGAGACGTCCTATCCATCCATCCATCCATGCGTGCAGCCTCCGCGTGCTGGCCCTGCCCGAGCTGTGTGTTCTCGGTGGCACCATGGTGTCCCCCTGGCTGCTCACCAAACCTGTGGACTTCATCCGTGGGCTGCTCGCTTCAGCGATTGGACGCACGGCATTCTGCCACACTGCCAGGTCAGTCAGGTGGCGGTGCGCATTTCTATAAATGCCTGGCTGGTGTTTGTAGTATGAGTGTGAATGAAATGTCGTGTGTCAGGTGTTGGGCTGCGCGTCGCCGTGTGATGTGGTGCGTGCTGTGTTGCGTGGTGGTCGGCATGACCATCATGCCGTTCGTCTTCAAAATGCCCTGGACGGCAGGCGCACTCACACAGACAAAGGAGAGAGAGAGAGAGAGGGAGAGGACGGAAAGCAGCTGCCTCCCTCCGCTGTCTGTGTGTCATCCATCCCATGCACTGCACACAGGAGATGGCGGCCAACCCCACTCCCGAGAACAATGCCAACGACGATGTCATCAGGCTCGTCCAATGGATCAACAAACACATACCCACGGGTGGGGTACCCACCACCCTCCCCCC